TTGGTTGTTTCTGAGAAGGCAGTACCGAAGTGAAGATCGTTGAGATGTGCCTCACTGAGTCAAGAAGGGTGAGGACTCGTCCAAAGGTATTTCCGAGTCTTCCTCCATTACCAGACTGGGATGATGTGCTGGTGATAAGGTTCTCACTTGTCTACTGATCAATCTTTAATACATAATACTTGTAACGATGTCATACAACCATATGGGTCATAACATCTTCTGGAAGTATTTGAAGCAGGTCGTACGTCTCATTCTTGTCTAAAATAACTAATACTAATTCAACCAGTACATCGGGGATATATAACTAATTTATACATATCACACTAACAATATCGCAACTGTACACCAAGCTGGGGACATGATTACCAATTTTTCGGCATTAACAAAGAAAATTTGGGCAAAGTGTCAACTGAAATTTTGTCTGACAAAGCATTGTAAAAGACAACTAGTGACATTAATTTTTACTCCGTTGTTGTTCCACTTGGTAGTGGTTGTTCCACTTGTAAGGTTCCATCAGGGTTGTTGTACCTGCTCGAAGGTTGTGGTAGTTCCACTTGTATTGTCGTTGCACTGGCGAAGTTGTTCCACTTGTGGTTGTCCTTATAATGAAACAATTGAATTACATGTGTTTCCAGAGTTTGCAGTCATCAACAAAAACAGGATGAACCATTGTCGTCAGACACGGTATTTGAGTTATATCACAGATCTATGTCTTTGACTTGTTTCTGAGCTTCAAGCTATAAACAACAAACAGTTTATTATCCAAGTACACCCGAGTCAGGTTACCATTGTTTTTGAAGAAGTTTCAATGCAATCCATCTGAGTGATCGACATCTATTGAGCATTTTTAATGAAGCTAATCTAAAAATTTATTCGCTTAACCAGATTGATGGTTCCATTCGGTCCAAGAAATGTAAGCATCTAAACACAAGGTACATATGCAGCCTTACCTTGTTGTCTCGTGCTGGTATATGACAATTTCAGATAATACTGAGAAGTTCTGCACAAGAAGCTTTATACTGGACATTGACGGAACCTTGAACATGAAAAAGCAACTTACAACTTTCACTTAATCACTGTATACATCACCATACCATAAAGGAAAGTTTATATTCAAGACTATAGATATCGAACATATAGTTAATCAATAAAGCGGAGATCATCATAAAAGAAAGTAATGAAAGAACTGCTGAATTTCTTCAAATGCAGCGTCTAAAACCTTGAACAAATACTTACTCATAAAGAGAATACTTGCTGTATCCGATTGCCCTCACTTGAAGACTTGTGGGTTTGTCTTCAGCTGGAGTGATTATCACTGGATCTGTATCATGTAAGTGGCACAGTAGTGAGGAAAACGGTGCTATCAACGGTGCCTTCGGTACTGCTAGTGTATCAACTGGTCCCATTGACTGTGAAGTCGTCAGGGTTTCTCTTGGTTACCAAGATAATCTTATCAGTCAGTTAGTTTGATAGGAACTCAGTAGCCTACAAAGTTCAAACAACATTTCTTATTATCTTCACTGATCATTGTTTCAGTACAATCAAACGGTACATAAATCTTTGTAGTCATACTTTCGTCAATCCAATGTTGCTAAGAACCTTGAAACTGTCAGCATACCATATAGATTATCATTCAGTCCATGAGCGTTTATTCAGATCCGAAATGTTATGTATCGTTGTTTTCATTCATACTTACAACATAACGAGGTTGGTTGTTTCGAAGGCACTGAAGTGAAGATCGTTGAGATGTGCCTTCACTGAGTCAACGAAGGTGACCTGTCCAAAGGTATTTCCGATGAGGGTTGTTCTCCATTACCGACTGGGATGATGTCGGTGCTGGTGAGTTTTCACTCTGTTCATCAGATAATCTTGTCACATGGGTCACTTAAAGTAACGATGTCATACAACCATGGGTCATAACATCTTCTGAAGTATTTAGAAAGAAATGTACGTCTTCATTCTTTTATTTAAAATAACCAATACTAACTAACCCAGCACATCGGGATATGACAACCACACTTACATATCACATCACACATCAACCAGTATCCAAGCTGGGACATGATTGTATTGGTTTTTGCATTAACAAAGGTAAATTAAAAGTGTCAAACTTCGAAATTTGTCTGACAAAGCATTGCAAAGGACATACATTAACATTTTAGTACTGAATCCACAACCTAAACTAGTGACATTAATCTTTACCCGTTGTTGTTCCACTGGTAGTGGTTGTCTAATTGGTGGTTGTTGTACCACTGGTTGTAGTAGTTCCACTTGTGGTTAAGGCCAGAATTGGTTAAAGTTGTTCCACTTGTAAGGTTCCGCACGGAACAATTGAATTATATATGTGCTTCCAGAGTTTGCAGTTTATCAACCAAAACAGGACATTTAACCATTGTCACCATCAGACACGGTATTTGAGTTATACTACAGATCTATGTCTTTGACTTACTTCTGAGTCATAACAAACAAACAAAGAGTTTAATATCCAAGTGGTACACTCCGAGTCAGGTTACTTCATTGTTTTTGAAGAAGTTTCAAATGCACCATCTGAGGGACTGAGTTATCTATTGAGTACTTCTAATGAAGCCATCTTAAAAATCTTATTCGCTTAAATCAGATTGATGGTTCATTCGGTCCAAGAAATGCGTGAAGCATTCTTAAACACACAGTACATATGCAGCCCAGGTCTCAAAGGGTATGACAATTTCAGATACTGAGCTACTGACCACGACGGAATTTGAACATGAAAAAGCACCACAACTTTCACATAATCACTGTATACATCAACATATACCATGCAAAGGAAGTTTATACATTCAAGACTATTATAGACATCACATAGGCTAATCAATAAAAGGAGATCTGGCCTAAAAGAAAGCAGTCGAAAGAACTAACCACTTCTTCAAATGTGCAGTTCAACCTTACCAAATACTATAAAGAGTATGATTTGCTGTATCCGGATTGCCCTTAATTTCTTGAAGACTTCAGGTTTGTCTTTCCAGCTGGAGGATTACTGTCACTGATCTGTACTAGGTGTAAGTGGCACAGTAGTGAGAAAACGGTAAAAGCATCAACGGTGCTCCTGGAACAATAGAGGCCGGTGTCCCATTGATCAGAAGTCGTCAGGTTTCTTTGTTACCAAGATAATCTTATCAGTCGAAGGTTTGCTGATAGGAACTCAGTTCCACAAAGTTCACCCAAACACTTTATCGCCTTCACTGGAAATATTGTTTCACAATCAAAACGGTAAATAAACAAATCATCTTTTGTAGTCATAGTTTTCCAGTCCAATATTTCACGCAATACATTGAAACTGCTCGTCAGCATAGTATATACACATTATCATTCAGTTCACAGTGTTTAGATCTGAAAATGTTATGTAACCGTTTTCCTTATTCAGCACATACTCTACAACATACCTGAGGGTTGGTTGTTTCGGAGAAGGTACCGAAGAAGATTGTTGAGATGCCCCACGACACGAAGGTGACGGTCCAAAGCTGTATCGACAGAGGGTTGTCTCTCCATACCGACACTGGGATGTCGGTGCTGGTGATGGGTTCTCACCTGTCTACTGATCAATCTTGTCACATGGGTCGTTTCTGTAACGATGTCATACAAACTACAATAAGTGCCTGGAAGTATTTCAGAAAGCAGGTCGTATGTCTTATTTTGTAAAAGCAAAACCAAACAACCAGAACTTGCAGTAATATCGGGGATGTCAGAAACACATTTACACTCATATCACATCAACAGTATTGCAATCAGTGAACATCCGAGCTGTGGACATACTTTTATTGGCTATTTTTCGGCTTTTACAGTGGGAAATTATGGCAAAGTGTCAAACTCATAAAGACCTTTTGTAACGTACGATAACTTTTATTACTGAACCACAACATTTCATTGCTGACGTTGTTTCTTTCTTTTACCGGTTGTTGTTCCACTGGTAGTGGTTGTTCCAATTGTGTGTTGTCGCTTAACTGGCAGGTGGTTGTTCCACTTGTGGGTTGTCGTTGCACTAGTTGTTGTTGTCCCACTTGTAGCTGTCCCTAATGGAAACACTGACATTATTTTATGCATTTCCAGAGCCTTTATCTCATCAATATAAGACAGGACATTTAAATCATTGGCTCCTTTTTCTATTATATATGCCCTGCTCTGATCTTGTATTTTACTAACGCAAGATTCGAACTTTTACTGACCACAGCAAGAAAATGAAGCTAGTAAAGAATGCAATCATTGTAGATCTCTTTGAAATATAAACTATCTATTCTAGTTAATCTTCGGAGCATTCGTGTTGAATTGAAGTTTATTTATATGAATGTGCTATAATAACTTAGTTTCACATATATTTTCCCTTTGTTAGATAGTTGATTTACAGAAAACAATGCTCACGATTAAAAGGTACAAATTTAGAAGCAACCAAACAAGATTGTTACAGACAGGGATAATGAAATGTTTTAGAAGTCAATTCTAACAAGAATTTCATATTTGCTAGCCGTGTTGAAAACATCACACTGTAATATAAGACTGGAGGAATATTAGAGATGATACCCCGTGTGTTTTAGCGTTTGGCTCTCTCACTCCCATAACCTGAATGTGTAGGAGTAGTAAGAGACAGTATATCAGCATCAGTAAGTTTCAAGGAATGATATATTTAAAATATCATTTTATAGTTCAGCATTCCAATGTGGGAGGATATGATGGGTTCTTGTATCAAGATCATTAGCAATCTTTACCTCTTACCTAATGCAATAAATGACCACTTATTTTGTAATATTCATTTAGATGTAGTTTTCCATAACAGAAAACATGGAAAAAGTTTGTTGATGTTAGTATGTGATATATTGTACCTCTCAGCAACAAATAATGTTATATTACTCTGTAGTTTCATGTTCACAGATATCAAGTCGGAAAGAGTCGCGCTTTGTGGCAAAAATGATGCTTTCAAGAGGTCTGCTGATAAGGAACCATGATAAGAAACAAAGCAATCATAAGCTGGAGTTGAGTTATTAGACGTATTTGAAAAGGCCACAGGAGAATCAATTGGACCCAGCACTTTCGAGGTAAGAAGTTAACTTTAACGAAGTGTTTTTTTTGACAAGTATACATCCAATGTTCCTTTACGTCTAAGAAATATGCCAGCTACATAACCTTGTGATAATTCCGACTCAACCAAGAGAATGACTGAATGAGAGAAAGAGAGTGATCCCTAACATTGGGGCCCACTGGGGCCATGTTTCAGGCTACAAATTTCGATACAAATTGGACTCTATTCCTGAATTCCAGAGAGGGAAGGCATGCTCAATAATGATAGGAAATTTATTTGTACAGTGATGGTGTTCCTGATATAAAATGTTTTATCGCACAATTGTTCCTTACAACAGTTGCTTTGTTTCTTATCAACAGTTCCTTATCAACAGACCTCTTGAAAGCATCATTTTGCCACAAAGCGCGACTCTTTCACGTCTTGATATCTGTGAACATGAAACTACAGGTAATATAACATTATTTGTTGCTGAAGGTACAATATATCACATGCTAACATCAAACGTTTTCATAATTTTATAATGGAAAACTACATCTAAATGAATATTACAAATAAGTGGTCATTTATTACATTAGGTAAGAATGGTACTAATGATCTTGATAAGAACCCATCATATCCTCCCCACATTGGAATACTGAACTATAAAATGATATTTTAAATATATCATTCGCGAAACTTGCTGATGCTGATATATATTGTGCACTTCTCTACACATTCAGGGATTGTAAATTGAAGGCAAACGCTAAGAAACACGGGGTATCATCTCTAATATTCCTCCAGTCTTATATTACGGTGTGATGTTTTCAACACGGCTAGCAAATATAAAGTTCTTGTTGAATTGTGACTTCTAAACATTTCATTATCCTGTCTGTAACAATCTTGTTTGGTTACTTCTAAATTTGTACCTTTTGTCGTAGACATTATTTTCTGTTAATCAACTATCTAACAAAGGAAAATATATATGAAACTAAGTTATTATATACATTCATATAAATAAACTTCAATTCAACACGAATGCTCGAAAGATGTAAATTAGATGGTTTATATTTCAAAGATCTACAATTGCATTCTTTACTAGCTTCATTTTCTTACTTGTTATTGATCGAGTAAAAGGATCTGAATCTTACGTTGATAAAATACAAAGTCAGGCAGGGCATATATAATAGAAAAAAAAGACAATGGTTAAATGTCCTGTCTTATATTGATAAGATAAAGGCTCTGGAAGTGCATAAATAATGTCAGTGTTTCCATTAGGGACAACTACAAGTGGGACAACAACAACTAGTGCAACGACAACCACAAGTGGAACAACCACTACCAGTGCAACGACAACCACAAGTGGAACAACCACTACCAGTGGAACAACAACCGGTAAAAGAAACAACGTCCTTAGTAAATGTTGTGGTTCAGTAATAAAAGTTATCGTACGTTACAAAGATTCTTTATGAGTTTGACACTTTTGCCATAATTTCCCACTGTAAAAGCCGAAAAACCAATAAAAGTATGTCCACAGCTTGGATGTTCACAGTTGCAATACTGTTGATGTGATATGAGTGTAAATGTGTTTCTGACATCCCCGATGTGCTGGGTTAGTTTGTTTGGTTTTGCTTTTACAAAATAAAGACATACGACCTGCTTTCACAAATACTTCCAGAAGATGTTATGACCCATGGTTGTATGACATCGTTACAGAAACGACCCCATGTGACAAGATTGATCTGATGAACCCAAGTGAGAACCCATCACCAGCACCGACATCATCCCCAGTCGGTAATGGAGGAGACAACCCTCTGTCGGAAATACCTTTGGACGAGTCACCCTTCGTTGACTCAGTGAAGGGCACATCTCCAACGATCTTCACTTCAGTGCCTTCTCAGGAAACAACCAACCCTCAGGTATATTTGTAGAGAGTATGTGCTGAATGAGAAAACCAGTTACATAACATTTTCAGATCTAAATAAACACTCATGAACTGAATGATAATGTATATACTATGCTGACGAGCAGTTTCAATGTATTGCGTGGAAATATTGGACTGAAGAAACTATGACTACAAAGATGATTTGTTTATTTACCGTTTGATTGTACTGAAACAATGTTCCAGTGAAGGTGATAAAGTGTTTGTTTGAACTTTGTAGGAGACTGAGTTCCCTGTCAAACCTTCGACTGATAAGATTATCTTGGTAACCAAAGAGAAACCTGACGACTTCACAGTCAATGGGACACCAGTTGATACCTCTAGCAGTACCGAAGGCACCGTTGATGGCACACCCGTTTTCCTCACTACTGTGCCACTTACACCAAGTACAGATCCAGTGACAGTAATCACTCCAGCTGGAAAAGACAAACCTGAAGTCTTCCAAGAAATTGAGGGCAATCCGGATACAGCAAATCCTTCTCTTTATGAAGTAAGTATTTGTTCAAGGTTTAGACGCTGCACATTTGAAGAAGTGATTCCCAGTTCTTTCGACTGCTTTCTTTTGAAATGCCAGATCTCCGCTTTTATTGATTAGCCTATATGTTCGATGTCTATAGTCTTGAATGTATAAACTTTCCTTTGCATGGTATATGTTGATGTATACAGTGATTATGTGAAAGTTGTAAGTTGCTTTTTTCATGTTCAGGTTCCCGTCAATGGTCCAGTATCAAAAATTCTTGTGCCAGGAACTAGCTCGGTATCTGAAATTGTCATATGCCAGCACGAGACAACAGGTAAGGCTGCACATATGTACCTTGTGTTTAAGAATGCTTCGCATTTCTTGGACCGAATGGAACCATCAATCTGATTTAAGCGAATAAGATTTTAAGATGGCTTCATTAGAAATGCTCAATAGATGTCAGTCACTCAGATGGATTGCATTTGAAACTTCTTCAAAAACAATGAGTAACCTGACTCGGAGTGTACACTTGGATATTAAACTGTTTGTTTGTTTGTTACTTGAAGCTCAGAAACAAGTCAAAGACATAGATCTGTGATATAACTCAAATACCGTGTCTGATGACGACAATGGTTAAATGTCCTGTTTTTTGTTGATAAACTGCAAACTCTGGAAGCACATATATAATTCAATTGTTTCCATTAGGGACAACCACAAGTGGAACAACTACAACCAGTGCAACGACAACCACAAGTGGAACTACCACAACCAGTGGTACAACAACCACAAGTGGAACAACCACTACCAGTGGAACAACAACGGGTAAAAGAATTAATGTCACTAGTTTAGGTTGTGGTTCAGTACTAAAATGTTAATGTATGTCCTTTTACAATGCTTTGTCAGACAAAATTTCGAAGTTTGACACTTTTGCCCCAAATTTTCTTTGTTAATGCCGAAAAACCAATACAATCATGTCCCCAGCTTGGATGTGCACAGTTGCGATATTGTTGATGTGATATATGTATAAGTGTGGTTGTCATATCCCCGATGTGCTGGGTTAGTTAGTATTGGTTATTTTAGATAAAAGAATGAAGACGTACGACCTGCTTTCACAAATACTTCCAGAAGATGTTATGACCCATGGTTGTATGACATCGTTACAGAAACGACCCCATGTGACAAGATTGATCTGATGAACCCAAGTGAGAACCCATCACCAGCACCGACATCATCCCCAGTCGGTAATGGAGGAGACAACCCTCTGTCGGAAATACCTTTGGACGAGTCACCCTTCGTTGACTCAGTGAAGGGCACATCTCCAACGATCTTCACTTCAGTGCCTTCTCAGGAAACAACCAACCCTCAGGTATATTTGTAGAGAGTATGTGCTGAATGAGAAAACAACGTACATAACATTTTCGGATCTGAATAAACGCTCATGGACTGAATGATAATCTATATGGTATGCTGACGAGCAGTTTCAAAGGTTGGTGTGAAAACATTGGATTGACGAAAGTATGACTGCAAAGAAGATTTGTATTTTTACCGTTTGATTGTACTGAAACAATGATCGAGTGAAGATAATAAAGTATTTGTTTGAACTTTGTAGGCTACTGAGTTCCCTGTCAAACCTTCGACTGATAAGATTATCTTGGTAACCAAAGAGAAACCTGACGACTTCACAGTCAATGGGACACCAGTTGATACCTCTAGCAGTACCGAAGGCACCGTTGATGGCACACCCGTTTTCCTCACTACTGTGCCACTTACACCAAGTACAGATCCAGTGACAGTAATCACTCCAGCTGGAAAAGACAAACCTGAAGTCTTCCAAGAAATTGAGGGCAATCCGGATACAGCAAATCCTTCTCTTTATGAAGTAAGTATTTGTTCAAGGTTTAGACGCTGCACATTTGAAGAAGTGATTCCCAGTTCTTTCGACTGCTTTCTTTTGAAATGCCAGATCTCCGCTTTTATTGATTAGCCTATATGTTCGATGTCTATAGTCTTGAATGTATAAACTTTCCTTTGCATGGTATATGTTGATGTATACAGTGATTATGTGAAAGTTGTAAGTTGCTTTTTTTTCATGTTCAGGTTCCCGTCAATGGTCCAGTATCAAAAATTCTTGTGCCAGGAACTAGCTCGGTATCTGAAATTGTCATATGCCAGCACGAGACAACAGGTAAGGCTGCACATATGTACCTTGTGTTTAAGAATGCTTCGCATTTCTTGGACCGAATGGAACCATCAATCTGATTTAAGCGAATAAGATTTTTAAGATGGCTTCATTAGAAATGCTCAATAGATGTCAGTCACTCAGATGGATTGCATTTGAAACTTCTTCAAAAACAATGAGTAACCTGACTCGGAGTGTACACTTGGATATTAAACTGTTTGTTTGTTTGTTACTTGAAGCTCAGAAACAAGTCAAAGACATAGATCTGTGATATAACTCAAATACCGTGTCTGATGACGACAATGGTTAAATGTCCTGTTGGTTTTGTTGATAAACTGCAAACTCTGGAAGCACATATATAATTCAATTGTTTCCATTAGGGACAACCACAAGTGGAACAACTACAACCAGTGCAACGACAACCACAAGTGGAACTACCACAACCAGTGGTACAACAACCACAAGTGGAACAACCACAAGTGGAACAACCACTACCAGTGGAACAACAACGGGTAAAAGAATTAATGTCACTAGTTTAGGTTGTGGTTCAGTACTAAAATGTTAATGTATGTCCTTTTACAATGCTTTGTCAGACAAAATTTCGAAGTTTGACACTTTTGCCCCAAATTTTCTTTGTTAATGCCGAAAAACCAATACAATCATGTCCCCAGCTTGGATGTGTGCACAGTTGCGATATTGTTGATGTGATATATGTATAAGTGTGGTTGTCATATCCCCGATGTGCTGGGTTAGTTAGTATTGGTTATTTTAGATAAAAGAATGAAGACGTACGACCTGCTTTCACAAATACTTCCAGAAGATGTTATGACCCATGGTTGTATGACATCGTTACAGAAACGACCCCATGTGACAAGATTGATCTGATGAACCCAAGTGAGAACCCATCACCAGCACCGACATCATCCCCAGTCGGTAATGGAGGAGACAACCCTCTGTCGGAAATACCTTTGACGAGTCACCCTTCGTTGACTCAGTGAAGGGCACATCTCCAACGATCTTCACTTCAGTGCCTTCTCAGGAAACAACCAACCCTCAGGTATATTTGTAGAGAGTATGTGCTGAATGAGAAAACAACGTACATAACATTTTCGGATCTGAATAAACGCTCATGGACTGAATGATAATCTATATGGTATGCTGACGAGCAGTTTCAAAGGTTTGTGTGAAAACATTGGATTGACGAAAGTATGACTGCAAAGAAGATTTGTATTTTACCGTTTGATTGTACTGAAACAATGATCGAGTGAAGATAATAAAGTATTTGTTTGAACTTTGTAGGCTACTGAGTTCCCTGTCAAACCTTCGACTGATAAGATTATCTTGGTAACCAAAGAGAAACCTGACGACTTCACAGTCAATGGGACACCAGTTGATACCTCTAGCAGTACCGAAGGCACCGTTGATGGCACACCCGTTTTCCTCACTACTGTGCCACTTACACCAAGTACAGATCCAGTGACAGTAATCACTCCAGCTGGAAAAGACAAACCTGAAGTCTTCCAAGAAATTGAGGGCAATCCGGATACAGCAAATCCTTCTCTTTATGAAGTAAGTATTTGTTCAAGGTTTAGACGCTGCACATTTGAAGAAGTGATTCCCAGTTCTTTCGACTGCTTTCTTTTGAAATGCCAGATCTCCGCTTTTATTGATTAGCCTATATGTTCGATGTCTATAGTCTTGAATGTATAAACTTTCCTTTGCATGGTATATGTTGATGTATACAGTGATTATGTGAAAGTTGTAAGTTGCTTTTTTCATGTTCAGGTTCCCGTCAATGGTCCAGTATCAAAATTCTTGTGCCAGGAACTAGCTCGGTATCTGAAATTGTCATATGCCAGCACGAGACAACAGGTAAGGCTGCACATATGTACCTTGTGTTTAAGAATGCTTCGCATTTCTTGGACCGAATGGAACCATCAATCTGATTTAAGCGAATAAGATTTTTAAGATGGCTTCATTAGAAATGCTCAATAGATGTCAGTCACTCAGATGGATTGCATTTGAAACTTCTTCAAAACAATGAGTAACCTGACTCGGAGTGTACACTTGGATATTAAACTGTTTGTTTGTTTGTTACTTGAAGCTCAGAAACAAGTCAAAGACATAGATCTGTGATATAACTCAAATACCGTGTCTGATGACGACAATGGTTAAATGTCCTGTTTTTGTTGATAAACTGCAAACTCTGGAAGCACATATATAATTCAATTGTTTCCATTAGGGACAACCACAAGTGGAACAACTACAACCAGTGCAACGACAACCACAAGTGGAACTACCACAACCAGTGGTACAACAACCACAAGTGGAACAACCACTACCAGTGGAACAACAACGGGTAAAAGAATTAATGTCACTAGTTTAGGTTTGTGGTTCAGTACTAAAATGTTAATGTATGTCCTTTTACAATGCTTTGTCAGACAAAATTTCGAAGTTTGACACTTTTGCCCCAAAATTTCTTTGTTAATGCCGAAAACCAATACAATCATGTCCCCAGCTTGGATGTGCACAGTTGCGATATTGTTGATGTGATATATGTATAAGTGTGGTTGTCATATCCCCGATGTGCTGGGTTAGTTAGTATTGGTTATTTTAGATAAAAGAATGAAGACGTACGACCTGCTTTCACAAATACTTCCAGAAGATGTTATGACCCATGGTTGTATGACATCGTTACAGAAACGACCCCATGTGACAAGATTGATCTGATGAACCCAAGTGAGAACCCATCACCAGCACCGACATCATCCCCAGTCGGTAATGGAGGAGACAACCCTCTGTCGGAAATACCTTTGGACGAGTCACCCTTCGTTGACTCAGTGAAGGGCACATCTCCAACGATCTTCACTTCAGTGCCTTCTCAGGAAACAACCAACCCTCAGGTATATTTGTAGAGAGTATGTGCTGAATGAGAAAACAACGTACATAACATTTTCGGATCTGAATAAACGCTCATGGACTGAATGATAATCTATATGGTATGCTGACGAGCAGTTTCAAAGGTTTGTGTGAAAACATTGGATTGACGAAAGTATGACTGCAAAGAAGATTTGTATTTTTACCGTTTGATTGTACTGAAACAATGATCGAGTGAAGATAATAAAGTATTTGTTTGAACTTTGTAGGATACTGAGTTCACTGTCAAACCTTCGACTGATAAGATTATCTTGGTAACCAAAGAGAAACCTGACGACTTCACAGTCAATGGGACACCAGTTGATACCTCTAGCAGTACCGAAGGCACCGTTGATGGCACACCCGTTTTCCTCACTACTGTGCCACTTACACCAAGTACAGATCCAGTGAGAGTAATCACTCCAGCTGGAAAAGACAAACCTGAAGTCTTCCAAGAAATTGAGGGCAATCCGGATCCAGCAAATCCTTCTCTTTATGAAGTAAGTATTTGTTCAAGGTTTAGACGCTGCACATTTGAAGAAGTGATTCCCAGTTCTTTCGACTGCTTTCTTTTGAAATGCCAGATCTCCGCTTTTATTGATTAGCCTATATGTTCGATGTCTATAGTCTTGAATGTATAAACTTTCCTTTGCATGGTATATGTTGATGTATACAGTGATTATGTGAAAGTTGTAAGTTGCTTTTTTTCATGTTCAGGTTCCCGTCAATGGTCCAGTATCAAAAATTCTTGTGCCAGAAACTAGCTCGGTATCTGAAATTGTCATATGCCAGCACGAGACAACAGGTAAGGCTGCACATATGTACCTTGTGTTTAAGAATGCTTCGCATTTCTTGGACCGAATGGAACCATCAATCTGATTTAAGCGAATAAGATTTTTAAGATGGCTTCATTAGAAATGCTCAATAGATGTCAGTCACTCAGATGGATTGCATTTGAAACATCTTCAAAACAATGAGTAACCTGACTCGGAGTGTACACTTGGATATTAAACTGTTTGTTTGTTTGTTACTTGAAGCTCAGAAACAAGTCAAAGACATAGATCTGTGATATAACTCAAATACCGTGTCTGATGACGACAATGGTTAAATGTCCTGTTTTTGTTGATAAACTGCAAACTCTGGAAGCACATATATAATTCAATTGTTTCCATTAGGGACAACCACAAGTGGAACAACTACAACCAGTGCAACGACAACCACAAGTGGAACTACCACAACCAGTGGTACAACAACCACAAGTGGAACAACCACTACCAGTGGAACAACAACGGGTAAAAGAATTAATGTCACTAGTTTAGGTTGTGGTTCAGTACTAAAATGTTAATGTATGTCCTTTTACAATGCTTTGTCAGACAAAATTTCGAAGTTTGACACTTTTGCCCCAAATTTTCTTTGTTAATGCCGAAAAACCAATACAATCATGTCCCCAGCTTGGATGTGCACAGTTGCGATATTGTTGATGTGATATATGTATAAGTGTGGTTGTCATATCCCCGATGTGCTGGGTTAGTTAGTATTGGTTATTTTAGATAAAAGAATGAAGACGTACGACCTGCTTTCACAAATACTTCCAGAAGATGTTATGACCCATGGTTGTATGACATCGTTACAGAAACGACCCCATGTGACAAGATTGATCTGATGAACCCAAGTGAGAACCCATCACCAGCACCGACATCATCCCCAGTCGGTAATGGAGGAGACAACCCTCTGTCGGAAATACCTTTGGACGAGTCACCCTTCGTTGACTCAGTGAAGGCAGCACATCTCCAACGATCTTCACTTCAGTGCCTTCTCAGGAAACAACCAACCCTCAGGTATATTTGTAGAGAGTATGTGCTGAATGAGAAAACAACGTACATAACATTTTCGGATCTGAATAAACGCTCATGGACTGAATGATAATCTATATGGTATGCTGACGAGCAGTTTCAAAGGTTGGTGTGAAAACATTGGATTGACGAAAGTATGACTGCAAAGAAGATTTGTATTTTTACCGTTTGATTGTACTGAAACAATGATCGAGTGAAGATAATAAAGTATTTGTTTGAACTTTGTAGGCTACTGAGTTCCCTGTCAAACCTTCGACTGATAAGATTATCTTGGTAACCAAAGAGAAACCTGACGACTTCACAGTCAATGGGACACCAGTTGATACCTCTAGCAGTACCGAAGGCACCGTTGATGGCACACCTGTTTTCCCTCCCTACTGTGCCACTTACACCAAGTACAGATCCAGTGACAGTAATCCCCACTCCAGCTGGAAAAGACAAACCTGAAGTCTTCCAAGAAATTGAGGGCAATCCGGATACAGCAAATCCTTCTCTTTATGAAGTAAGTATTTGTTCAAGGTTTAGACGCTGCACATTTGAAGAAGTGATTCCCAGTTCTTTCGACTGCTTTCTTTTTGAAATGCCAGATCTCCGCTTTTATTGATTAGCCTATATGTTCGATGTCTATAGTCTTGAATGTATAAAGCTTTCCTTTGCATGGTATGTTGTTGATGTATACAGTGATTGTGTGAGAGTTGTAAGTTGCTTTTTTCATGTTCAGGTTCCCGTCAAT